AATCTCGCCTCCTAGTATGGTTGGCGATGATGCACTGGGCAAGATGGCATAAGCTCGGGTTGGGGCGGGGCTCTCCTCCATAAATTGTGTCTTTAGGCTCAATTATTCCTATGCCGAGCCAACTCGTCAAAGAGTGGCTTTCGCCCATAGTACGTGTCATACAACATAACGTATGGGTCTTGATTCTTTACACCCTCAAGCTTGGCGAGATTTGGCAGTTTTTGGATTATTTGCTCAACTTGACTCGGCGCCGGCATATGCACTTGGTTGGCGTGGAAGAACGGCGCTCGAGATGGTAGGGGAGTTGCCGGCCACATTGGGTCTTCATAGATGTGATCTTTCTCAACCGGGGGTGGCACGACAATGGGGATCTCAAGGGATTGAGACTCATTGACATCTTCTTGAAATTCTTCACTAACCAATCCTTGAGTCTCCTCCTCTCTCAAAGAGTCATCTTCAAATAACTCCCAATCCTCCTCTTGTGTTTCTCTATTCATGGCGTTAGTAGATTCATCTGGAAGCAGTTTCAACCTAAACAACTCTGCTAGATTTGTCTTTATTTCCTCGTGAAGTTGGTTAAGCACCTCTATCCTCTCTAACTTCTCTATGCGGAGTCTTGTCTCCTTCGAAAATTGGGCGACAAGGTCTTCAAGTGAGGTAGAAGACTCTGCATGGTGACGGGGGGTGTCAAGCCATGGCTCCGAAATGTTGGAGCTATCCTCAAAATCGTGGTGGTTTGTTGAATACTTCCCATACCAATAGTTAACATCGGTCATGTCTTCCAACCACCAATAAGCTTCATCCGCAGATAGTTGGTGAAAAGAGGTGGTACCATTTCCTCTTTCCACCCACATTCTTGTTGCGGCATCTAACCCATCGAGGAAGATTTGTAGTTGCACCTCCCTCAGGAAACCATGGTCAGGAAACTGAATGAGCTGCTCCTTGTATCTCTCCCAAGCACTAAAAAATGGCTCGGAGTCTTGTTGAGCAAATCTTAAGAGGACTTGTCG